ACTGTGACCCCTTTCGACCGGGCGCGGTATTCATGGAATTCTCCGGCACCTCCACCGCACCGGCTATGATGAGGCACAGAGCCCAGGTCACCAAATGCTGTCACGTGTTTGCAGTCAAAGATCACGTGGTTAAGATCACAAGTATACCACCTTTCGTGAATCATGGATAAGACTTGACTTCTGGTCTGATCATTTTTTCTTGTCAATCCGCTGCTGGATAAACTGTCCTATGGACATGTTCATCCCTGTCATACGAACGTGGAATTTCCACCAACGGCTCGACTCTGGGTGATACCGTGAAAAGAGCTTCATGGGTCATCGGATTTCTCCGGGATAAAGATTCTGAACGGAGATTCTGATTCTCTCTCAGTGGTCATGTGAGCCACTTTGTGATGCACGCTGGGGGTGGGGGGGGGGGTTGTGGTTGTGTGACCATACTTCACCACGCTGGTCAGTGCCGATTGGTGAACGATGGAGGGGGGGGGGGCAGATCAGGGTGAGTTATGAACAGTCGTTTAGTCCGATGTACGCTTAAAAAAAATCTATAAAATGTACTATATTTTTGTTTTTTCATAAATCGATGGAGCCTGCTATATTTAAAAATCAATACGAAGCAGTTAAAGCTGGAACAAGTTTGCTCACCGCCGCCAACGTCGCTTACGTTGGGGGGTGCGCGCTTCTGTGCGACGTCCGTGCCGCCGTAACACATCCCTGCTGCGGAGGGAGCTGGTAGGAACGTTGGGTTGCTCGGTCAATGGCCTGCAGGGTCAACGGCGGCGTGGTGTATTCCGCAAATATGCCCGACTGTGAGGGCGGGCACAAGCCGGCGTGAGTAGGTTAAACGTTGAGTTTTATAAGGGCACCACGGGGTGAGCAGCCCCTCCCCACCCAGCCCCACCCCTCCCACCCCCCACCCAGCCCCACCCCTCCCACCCACACCCAGCCCCTCCCCACCCAGCCCCTCCCCACCCAGCCCCTCCCCACCCTCCCCTCCCCACCCTCCCCTCCCCACCCTCCCCTCCCCACCCATTCCCTCCCTCCCCACCCAGCCTCTCCCTGCACGACGGACGGACACAATAATCCCCTGTGGGCTGGTGTAACCAGGAGGTTCCAACCAGTATAATCTGCGGTCTGCGGCATAGCTCGCAAGCCAGAGGTGGATGGGACCGCTCATCGCCATCATCATCGGCAGCGGCAGTCACGATGCATCCGCTGCTGGGGGTGGGAAGGGTTCACTCAACCCATCATCACTCCCTCCGGGGTCAGTTAAAATAAAGTAGCACTTTGCGCAGGGGGGAGGGGTGGGTGAGTAGTCCATCGATGTTGGCTTTCCTATGAATGCACTCATCCACCGCCGCTGACCAGAGTAACGTGGAATTGCCACCCACTTTGCCCTGCAGGGTCTGCAAAAATCATTTGAGCGGCGGGAAAAAAACTTGAGACATTTTTTTTAGGGTCGATCACGGATTACGATGGGTACGCGTTGGTTTTAGTCTTCTTCTAATTCATCGTCTTCTGCATCTCCTTTGTCTTCATCTCCTCCGTCATCATCTTCATCGTCTTCATCTTACTCCGCTTCCAAACGTGGCCATCGTTCGGCCGCCGCCGGCGGTGCGACGTTGAGTCTTCCCCGGCGGTGACCGCTCTGCGCTCTGCCCCCCCCCACCACCCATCCTCCCCGCGTGCCCCCCCCGCGGCGACACACAAAGCGGCGTTCTGTATCTGACGACACGAGGGCCTTGGTGTCGCACGGCACGGGGGGGGGGGGGGGCGGTGGGGGCTCTGTATCGGTACACACAACGCTTCCCCTATGCCGAGAGATTTCCTTTCAAGTGGATGCGCTGAATTTTATTTTTTTATTTTTTCATTTTTTTACTCTTCCACCCCCCCATGCCCAGATATTGCCGGTCTCGGGGTCCCCGGTTCACTCCGCGTCAACTCGTGTGTTTATATTACTACTGACACTACTAATACCGTCATCACGGGTCGTGTTCTAGCCACTGCTGGATGAAATTTGGGCTCCCCCCCCCCCCACCACCCATCCCCCCCCACCACCCATCCTTCCCCCCCCCGACTCTCCGGCCATCTCCCGTCTCCCTGGTCGTGTGATGTGACGGAATTCATCTTCGCCGCGTTGCCGGGCGCAGTGTCGTGAGGGTTATTTTACTATGGACACAAAACTATATTGTCTCTTTGTGCATTGCGCTCCTCAGCACACTGTCACCAAATGATGGAATAGTCCCGTTCGGACACCATCACCTCACTACACTGCAGTCTCTCTGCGTGAGTCTGTGGTTATTGCAGAAACTTGACTCCTTCGCAAAATTTTTCCTCTTTGGTGTTTGAGCATCTTAACACCGTTTCTTATGTTTCAAAACAGGGCACAATGCGTGCGGCCAGTGCATTCTCAGAGGCCCCCGACCGCGCAAAACGATGGCCACCCCCAAAAATAAAAATAAAATCACCCCGGGTGCTTCTGGTTGTGTCCCGGACACACAGAGAGACAGATCGTAACAACAATCTATAGATATAAACGGGAAATTTGTGAATATGTGTGTCTGTTCGAAATGCTTAGCATACTTCCCGACATGCAACAAACTTGAAATTTGCCATGTGGGTAGCTTCCAGACTGTACACATTGAAAAAAGTATAAAAATATACTTTTTTTGTGGGGGGGGGGGGGGGGGTGCAATAATGGATATATTTTGCACGGCAAGTGAGCGGTGACGTCACATCTGTGACGTCACATCTGTGATGTCACCCGTATGCGGCAGCGTCACGCAGTGTGCCTGCTGACGTCACGCACCCCCCCCCCCAAACCCTCCGCGTAGGCCGTCTATTAATCCAAGACAAGAATCCAAGTCCCGGGCGATGCCGGCTAGTCAAGCTCGTGTTAAATAAAACATGAGCGCAGCCCCCCCACCGCCCCCCCCCCCCCCGGCTACGTAGCGCGTGAACGCATCAGCCGTGCGTCCCGGGGGGGGGGGGGGTGGTGGAGGTGGAGTGTGGGGGGGGGGGGCACCCCCACAGAAGCAGCTGCTTGCGTGGCTTCACGACGCAGCGCCGCGACCCAACGCCCGATTCCGCACATTCCGCGCCCGCGGTGCCGTCATCTACTCGACGCTTTGTGCGTGAGAGAGAGAAGGGGGGGGGAGAAGGGGGGGGAGAAGGGGGGGGGGGCAACAGAGTGGAACCCTCCCCCCTCACCCCAACCCCCCGCCCCCCCCCCCCAGTCAAAGGCTGGACGTCTCAATCGGCGCCGTCTACCATTTCCCTCCCCGCGCCGACCCCACCGAGATCAAATGAGGCCTTTCAGTGGCAGCCCGAGAGTGAGAGTGTGCTGTTGGGTGGGGGAGGTGTGTCTGTGCGTGTGTGTGATGGTGTGTGTCTGTGTGTGATGGTGTGTGTGTGTGTGCATGTTGTTGTGGAGAGCGGTAGTGTAGCGGTTAGCGCGCTGCGCTACGAACCCGGCGACACGGGTTCGATTCCCGCTCACGGCCAACACCGGTGACGATGATCTGAACCGGTCCTGGGCCTCGCTTAGGTCGTCTCGGCCTCAAATGAGTTTCCAGGTGCGGTGTGTGAATACCACCACTGGGGAGACAAAGGCGGCCGGGCGTGGTGCTGGCCACCCACCCTCTTGTGTGCCATGCCCTGTCTTTATACAGCACTTGCCCCAACAGTCTGCTAAAGGTTATATATCTTTACACGCCACTGAGTCAACCTAGGGGAGGCCCAGCACTGGTTCAAGCTGGCCGTGAGCGGGATCCGTAGCGCAGCGCGCTAACCCCTGCGCCACCGTTCTCTGTGACGAGCAGCACAGCAGCAGAAGCATCGCCGGTGGCAGCGCGGAAACCCAGACCACAATCGCACGCTTGTCCCAGCGTCTAAACCTCACCCCCCATCCTCACCCCCCATCATCACCCCCACTGTCACTCCCTACACCCCCTCGTTCAACCGCCCCCCCACCCCCGGCGCCCCCCCCCCCCCTTTCTCATGCTAATTACGCAATTGCACGGAACAATTCCTCGCGCTGGAGTTTCTTCCGCGACAAGAGAGACGCGGGAGATGGGGACAACCGTCATCTGGCTCTGTGGTGTGGTGGTGGCGGTGGTGGTGGCGGTGGTGGTGGCGGTGATGGTGGTGGTGGCGGTGATGGTGGTGGCGATGGCAGAAGTGGTGGCGGCAGTGATGGTGGCGGTGGCGGTGATGGCGGTGGTGGCGGTGGTGGCAGTGGTAGTGGCAGTACTCAAAATAAAAAATAAAACGGACAGACAAAGGCCCCGCCACGGTGGCTAGGAGATGTTAACTACCTCGCCAGGTACGCAGGAGGTAGTGGGTTCGATCCCGACCCTGACAACGCCTGCTGCGGTATATTTGTAGTTTGCGTGTCTCTCTCTCTCTCTCATCATCATCACGGTGGCTAGGAGATGTTAACTACCTCGCCTGGTATACAGGATGTCGTGGGTTCGATCCAGACCTTGACGGCTGCTTTCAGAGTATTCGGCTGCTATAATTTTCCACGAGATAAGCCACTTCGCTGAGCTATCATTTATGGCCAGGTCACTTCTAAAAAAGAGCTACATAGCTCAGTGGGCCTTACCTGGTAAAAAACGAAATGTACGGATGTTTAACGTCTTTCGCAACGTACGTAGCCAGCCGCGTTAATCGGAGGTGCGCGGAAAGGACCGCAAACCAAACACAAAAATCAGTTCTAGGAAAAACGAGTTTTCGATCAAGATGATGGTACATAGCTCCAGTGGGCTTCCTAATATCGGGAAGGAAAGAGCGTTCCAGACGGCCGCAGAAGCGCATCTGAAGGCGCCGCGCGATGCGGCGACCGCCGCCGTCCGTGGTTCGACGGCTTCGCTGAGAAGCTGCCACCGCTGCCGCCACTGCCGCTACTACGAGGACGACCGGAGTTTGCGTGATGATGGTTCATGTCGGGCGAGTGTCCCACACTTGTTTGTCATCGCGCGTACACAAACACCGCGGCTCACCTTGACACCGTCAGCGTAGCCCTCGGACTTGTGCATGAGGCTGAGGAAGAGAGAGAGGGGTGCGTGGAGGGTGGGGGGGGGGAAGAGAGACGTTAATAGTCAAATTTCGATTGAAAGCTTTCGTGACTGCAGGGATTCATATTCTTGGTTCTCTCGGTAAAGTCACGTAGAAGGGAAGTAATAAAATAATAAAATAATACAAATAAAACAATAAAATTCTCACGACGTTTCGATTGCAACACAAGCAATCATCATCAGCTGTGAAAACCACCTGAGAATTTTAGTGTTTTATTTTTATTATTTTATTATTTCCCTTCTACGTGACTTTATCGAAAGAACCAAGAATACGTTAAGAGTCATGATCAATCTCCTGTACGCACGTACGTTGAACTTCTTTCGCGCCGTACATGGTCAACCGTGTACGTATGTACGTTGAACTTCTTTCGCGCCGTACGTAGCCGACCGTGTGCGTATGTTATCTGTTGACATTTTTATCGCGCAGTACGTAGCCATCCGCGCTAATCGGAGGTGCAGGGGAAGGACAACAAACTGGACGCATAGAAACAGCAAGGCGCCAGGTATGTAACCAAAAATAATTTGACACATTTTTGTTTAGTAGTAGGTTTTCACCCTGTAAAAAAAAAAACTGGCACCTTTATACAAGGCATCATGTTTGCAATAACCACAACAAAGGCAGTCAAAATGCAAACAAAAAGAAACAACTCTGATAATGGTAATGATATGCACTGTCCTTGAAGTTGATTGGTCCACACCCGAGACAGCTGTCTCGGGTGTGGACCAATCAACTTCATTATCAGAGTTGTTTTTTTTTGTTTGCATTTTGACTGCTTGTGTTGTGGTTATTGCAAACATGATGCCTTGTATAAAGGTGCCAGTTTTGTACCAGTTTAAAGGGTAAAAAACCTACGAGTATATTTTGCCACTGGTAAAGGAGATGTCTCATAGTGTAAACATTTTTGTTTTTTGTTGTCATCGACTCATCATCGTCGACCGTTCGACGACGACGCCCGCCCGCCACGTCTCCGCACGGTCTTTTAGAAAATATCTAATTTCCCTTCTCTCCCTTTTTCTCTCTCCAAAACATCGCCGAGGGGATCTCCGCTTTTTCTCCCTCCGTCGCTTTATCGACTCCGACATTTTTATCGCCCTTTTCAAGAACCCAGGATTACGGCGGTGAACATCGGACACGGGAGCAAGGAACGCGACACGCACGGCAGGCCCGGGACGCGCGTAACGCACCCCCCACCGTGAGTAGGGAAGGGACATGGGCATCTGGGGCTCGCCGGCCAACCCACGGCGGAGGAGGAGGGGGGGTAACAATCGAGGGAACTTGGCCCTTCATACCGAACGCGTCCTAATGATGTCCGCGCCACCGCCAGCGTTAACCGGGCAGGGGGGAGAGCAACGTTCCTACGAATGTAACGCCAGAAACGGCATCAATTCAAAATTTGTCTTTACACCATTGGAACCTCATTTGCCAGTAAAAAAATATGATAATTGGGTTTTTACCCTTCTATCTGCCAACAAAACTGACACTTTTTTTTACAAGGAGTCATGTTTGCATAGACCACAATACCTGCAGCCATAATGCAAACAAAAAACATAACTCTGATAATATTTTGGCGTCATCTGGTCCAACCCATGTGAGACTAGGCTCTAAGGAAAGCTGTCTCGGGTGTGGACCAATCAACTTCAAGGACAGTGCATACATTTTTAGAGTTGTTTTTTGTTTGCATTATGGCTGCAGGTATTGTGGTCTATGCAAACATGACTCCTTGTAAAAAAGGTGTCAGTTTTGTTGCCAGATAGAAGGGTAAAAAACGAATTATCAAAGTTAGTCGTTATTAACAATGCTCATTATGTATTTGATGATGATGGTGGTGATGGTGGTGGTGATGGTGGTGACGATCATCAGCATGGCAATGGTGATGCCAGTCAAATTTATCCACGAATTGAACTCGGGACATTTGAAACGCGCACAACCTGCAGCAGCCGGGGCCTCATCACAAACTGACTGGGCAGCGTCTACACAGCATCCTGATAAAAACACGGGCTGACCATGGTAGAGGCCTTTTCTGGGTGAAATCACGTAAATATAAGCGTGTCGTTAAAGCCCGCCACCACCCGACACAACCAATTAGTAAGGTTTGTCACGTGAACAGAACGTGCCAATTCGTCACAGCACAACGGTTGTGTTGGAGGCAACAACATTTGCAATTTGAGAATTTACGTTTCGCCGGATAATTACGACTAGCTTCATCAGGCGGACACCCAGATTCGTGCAGAAACCCTCCTCCTGTTTTTGTTTTCCATTTAACTTCTTATCGCACCGCACGTGGCCCAACAGTGCTCATCGCAGTTGTGCGGGCAAAAGTGATTTTTTTTTTACCCGATTCCACCACCCTCTCCCCTCCAGCCCCCCCCCCCTCCTCTCCCACCCCACCACCCCTCCCCCTCCAGCCCCCCCCCCCCTCCTCTCCCACCCCACCACCCCTCCCGTCCCTGCCTCCTAACCACGGGAAAGGAAGAGGGCAAAACGGTGGCCAAATCGTAGGCAGGAAACGGCTGGCGATCTCAAATCAGAGATGTCGACAGCCACGCCCTGGCGGACGGCAAGATCGGAGAAGATGCTGACGGGTCGTGGAGACCCGCGCCGGGTGTGACTGTGTGTGTGTGTGCGGATGTGTGTGTGTGCGGATGTGTGTGCGGGTGTGTGTGTGTGCGGATGTGTGTGTGTGTGCGGGTGTGTGTGTGTGCGTGTGTGTGTGTGTGCGGATGTGTGTGTGTGTGCGGGTGTGTGTGTGCGGATGTGTGTGTGTGCCGGTGTGAGTGTGTGCGGGTGTGACTGTGTGTGCGGGTGTGTGTGTGTGCGGGTGTGACTATGTGTGTGTGTGCGGATGTGTGAGTGTGTGCGGGTGTGACTGTGTGTGCGGGTGTGTGTGTGTGCGGGTGTGACTGTGTGTGTGTGTGCGGATGTGTGAGTGTGTGCGGGTGTGACTGTGTGTGCGGGTGTGTGTGTGTGCGGGTGTGACTGTGTGTGTGTGTGCGGATGTGACTGTGTGCGGGTGTGATGGGGGAGCGGTGGTGTAGCGGTTAGCGCGCTGTGCCAGGAACCAGGCGACCCGAGTTCGATTCCCGCTCGCGGCCAGCACCGGTGACGATTATCTGCACCGGTCCTCGGCCTCCACTAGGTCGACTCAGCCTCAACTGAGTACCTGGTGCGGTGTGTAAACATAACCGCTGGGGAGACAAAGGCGGCCGGGCGTGGTGTTGGTCACCCACCCCCTCGTGTGCCGAGCCAGCCTTCATAGGTACTTGCTAACAGCACTTGCCCCAACAGTCTGTTCAGGCTATGCGGGGGATCTTTGTCTTTTGAGTGTCTGGAGCGCCACAAACACGGCGACCCGTGTTCGATCCCCGACACAGCGACCAACTCCAGTGACGGTTATCTGAACTGGTCCTGGGCCTCCCCTAGCCCAACTGAGCCTCAAAAAAGCACCTGGTGCGATGCGTAAAAACATCGCCACCGGGGAGACAAAGGCGGCCGGGCTTGGTGCTGGCCACCCACCCCCGTCAGGTGCTGCCCGGCTTCATCGGCGCTACCCGCGGACAGCACTTGCCCTCCGCAGCCTGTTAGAAGGCGACACGGGGGGGAGGGGGGGTGGATATTTGTTTTCCACGCTTCCACTCGGCGGCCCGAGTGGAAGCGGAGAAAAAGGGGGGGAAACGTAAATAGAAGTAATAAAAGTAAATAAAATAAAAGTACTAAAAGTAAATAAAATAGAAATAATAAAAGTAAATAAAAGTAAATAAAATAAAAATAATAAAAGTAAATACAATAAAAATATTAAAAGTAAATAAAATAAAAATATTAAAAGTAAATAAAAGTTAACAAAAGAAAAATAATAAAAGTAAATAAACCAATTAAATAAACTAGTTTTAAAACATCCGCGGATCGCGTTTGGACCAAAATAAAAAGAAGGCACCGGTGCCTGCCCGGGTTGTCCTTCCTGCACGGTCGGTGGTCGTCTCGTTCCCTCGAATGAATTTCTTTTTATATTCACCCTCACCACCTCCCCCACCCACCGTGACTTGCCCCCCCCCCCCACGACTCACCTCGCCCCCCCTCCGCGCCTCCACCCCTAGGACATCGCAAGACAATTGACCTCCGGTTGGCACTCCGCCTTGACCCCCCGCCACCGCCACCTCCTCTTAGTGCTCGCAGGAGCAACTACGTAGCCGCCACTGCTGCGCGCCTTCGTGCGTTCGTTCGTGTGTTCGTTCATGCGTTCATGCATTCGTTTGTGCGTTCGTTCGTGAATTCGCTCGTGCGTTCGTGGATTCGCACGTGCATTCGCACGTGCGTTCGTGAATTCTCTCGCGCGTTCATTCGTGCGCTCATCCCTCCGTGCGTGCGTCCGTTCGAATTCAACCGCGCTCACTTCGCACGACAAGGGAGCGGTGGTGGGGGGGTGGGCGGCGTTGCGTGGGCACCCCGCAGTGCTGCGTCCGTGTCCCTGCGTGGCCGCCTACGCACCATCTCCTTAATGGAATTAGCCGAGTCCATCACGGGGGCATCGCCTCCCTGCCCCCTCCCCCACTTCCCCCACCGCCGCCTCACCCACCACCCAACTCAGCATTGAACGTGCGACAATCCAGCCACCTACCCCCCCCCCCCTGTTCCCTACCCCCACCTCCCATGGACCCGCAGCCTCCTGATCCACCAATCTCCACTCGCGCTCAACTCTCCTCCTCCTCGAACCTCCTCCGACGTTCACCGAAACGCTTCGCCGCTTTCACTTTGTCGCAATCGTAGTGCAAGTGGCGAGATCGAATGCGCAGCCCCGCAATGCCCGCACCACCGCCCCCTCCCCCCGCCACCCCCACTCCCAGCAAAAAAAAATCAGAAAAAATACGAATAATCATAATCACGTTGATTATAATTAATCACATTGCACGGCGGTCAAGTACAGCTCGCCGGTTTAACCAACGATTCTGGGGGGGTGGGATGAGTCGTCACGTGCTGTTCGACGCGTCCCTACGACGCGCTGGAGATGAACGCCGTCAGATTCTTGCGAAGGGACAGATCCACGTCGTGCGCCACGAGCGACGTTCGCACCTCGGCCGCCCCCCCCCCCCCCCCACAGCCCCCAACCGTCTTCCCAGAGAGCAAAGTTCACCGCTGGGACGTGGTTCTCTCTCCATCGCCCCCGTCGCCGCCGCCGTCTCTACGCCCAGCGGACGTGCGAGCCATCGATCGGTCGGCCCGGCGCAGATAAGCGCTTTAACGACGCGGAGATACGGGACACGCGACCGCCACCCCGACCGGTACCGCACCGCCGTGCCGGACGCGGGAACCTCCGCTAAGGTGGGGGGGGGGGGGCCCGGCTGGGGGCCGTGGCGGAGGTTAACCACCGATGGAGCCGCAGATAAATCGGCGGTTATCGCAGAACAAGTTTTCGTCTCTTCCGTTGCTATCGCACGCACGCACGCACGCGGGTACACACGCACACGCACGACACACACACACACCAAGATAACGATCGACCCGTGTAGCCTGTAACAGACTGTTTTTGCACCTCCGATTAGCACGGTTGGCTACGTACGGTGCGAAAGAAGTTCAATAAACATACTTTACATACATACTACACTACTATACACCGCGCGGTACAGTACAAGCGCTGTTTGCGAGCACCTATGAAGGCCAGCACGGCACACGAGGGGGTGGAGGGCCAGAATAACGCCCGGACCACGTTTGTCTCCCCAGTGGCGATGTTTACGCATGGCACCAGGTACTCATTTGAGGCTGAGTCCACCTAGGGGAGGCCCAGGACCGGTTGCACATTAAAGTAACTGTATTTTTTCATTTGCTATACAGCCGGATAATACGGCAAATCGCTAACCTTAAACGCCCAGTCGTTCGTAAAAGTCGAAGGCGGTATAGTACTATAGCAATAGAGCAAGTGCAGAATCACCGAACCGGAATTGATAGCTTGAAAGCATTTAGCGCGGGACCCTTGAAAGTGTGGGGCCCGTAGCATTATGTAGCTACTTGTGCTACGAGGATATAATCCGGCACCGATCACGCCCTCGTGCGCCGGCTGCCAACGTCAGCGTCAACGAAACGACGTGTGTGTGTATATATATGTGTGTGTGTATATATTTTTTTACGTACGAATATGCAACGACTATGTTTACGCCGATATGTTTCGTCAACTTGTGTACATCACGAGCGAACGTCGTCACCGACGCTCGGGTTTGGCTCTGGGACGACGGGAAAGCGATTCCCTTTGAATTTGCGTGCTCGTCATCTCGCGCGGAAAACAAACAAAAAACACGTCGAAATGTTTCTCCGTTTTCTGCTATTAAACATCTTTGGTAACCGGCTGTGGGGGGCCCCCGTACGTTTGCATAATTACCGCTAAGTGCACCCCCCCCCCCCGATCGCACGATCGAGAACGGATGCAAAACGCTTTCAACGGAGGGTTAATCGCCGCGCATTGTTGACATTTTTTGCAATCGTTTTGTTGTTTATCACCGACGATCAATCGTGAGTCATAACTCCTGCGGTTTGTTAATTTCCCGCGGTAAGATTACGGCTCCGGCCCGAATGTTGGTGCCGTGGTGGCTAGGAGATGTTAACTACCTCGCCTGGTATACAGGAGGTCGTGGGTTCGATCCCAACCCTGATGCCTGCTGTATATTTGGAGTTTGCGTGTCTCCCACTCATCATCATCATCATCACGGTGGCTAGGAGATGTTAACTACCTCGCCTGGTATACAGGAGGTCGAGAGTTCGATCCCGACCCTGACGCTTGCTGCTGTGTATTTGGAGTTTGCGTGTCTCTCTCTCTCTCACCATCATCACGGTGGCTAGGAGATGTTAACTACCATGCCTGGTATACAGGAGGTCGAGGGTTTGATCCCGACCCTGACGTCTGCTGCTGTGTATTTGGAGTTTGCGTCTCTCTCTCTCCCCGTGTTCATCTGGATTTGTCTCGGGGTCCTCCGGTTTTCCCCTCCACATTTAGAATCAACGTCACGCGTTCAGAATATTTGACTGCTGCTGTAAGTTTCCACACGATGATGATGATGAGCCCACTTCGTTGAGCTATCAGTTGTGATGGCCCGGATCACTAACGATTAAAGCGCTACCTTACCTGAATCATTAAACATAGTTAATAGTAACTCAGAGACCAGACACTCAACTCGTCCCTGCTCATTAAAGCCAGCTCTCCATCGTTGTCGTCGTCATAATCATTATCAGCTGTGATGTATCCGCTGCTGGATTAAACCCTGCCCCAAGCCGTCACGATGTCTCTCATACTCTTAGTTCTTTCGGTAAAGTCACGTAGGTAAAAAAATGAAATTAAAATTAATAAAAATAAAACAATAAAATCACGACGTTTCAGAGGCAACACAAGTCTCCGTCATCAGGTGAGACCGTCACAGCCAGATTTTCTGCATCAAGTGTCTCTCCCACTGAGCTCCTCCTGCTTACTGTTTTGCATTTATTTTTTTCTCCCGTGACTGCTCTAAACCGATTTAATTTTTCACATTCGTGCAATTGGAATTTTTCCAATATTTTTTTTTTCTCGTAGCAAAAAATAAAACGATTTCACGAGATCGCTTGATCAGTGGCCGGGCCGACAGCACCAACTCGCTGTACTTGATGACCCGGTTTAATCACAGAGGGGGGCGGGCGGAGCGGTAGGAGTCAAAACCTGGATTGGAACCCAGATCTCGGCGATGCCGGCTCCGTATCTCTGACCTCTGAGCCACCGAGTTTGTAGCCGGGTCCATGCGGTGAAGCGATCGGGTTGCACGCAACTCGGTTGCACGCGCGCGAACGAACGGGGACTTCTGCTGCGACCGGTTGCCGCTCACGCGCTGCGGGCGACGGCCTCGACTTCCGAGCGATCGATCGATCTGCTCGGCGAGGCGGCAGCGACGGCGTTACATCGCGTGCCGTGTCACTCCGAAGCGCGCAGCTCGCCATTGTCAACTCCCTCGCCGCGCAACTGCACTGATCACGTCCTCGTGCGCCGGCTGTCAGCGTCAACGAAACGATGTGTGTGTGTGTATATATATTTTTACGTACGAATATGTAACGACTATGTTTACGCCGATATTTTTCGTCAGCTTGTGTACATCACGAGCCGCGCGCTTTCCGAGAACCCGATTTGGTCGCCCGCCCGACCGACCGACCGACCGACCGACCGAACGACCGGTTGCGTAACCCCTGCCGTGCAATGCAGGCTCCCACAATGCACTGGCCTTGCCGGCTCCGTACACTGGACACCTGTGAAAAAAAGCTTCATAGCTCATCGGATTCCTCCGGTAAAACGAAAGATTCTGATTATGTATTGACAGAGTTTGGGGGGGCTCGCCGCCGTACCTGGAGTGGTTCTGCCGCAGCCAGGGCTGGCTCCGCTCCTGCTCGACGCCGCACGACGCCGCGCGACCCACGGGCCTCTTCCGGGGCAGGGTGCCGTGCAGCGTGGAGGGGTAGGCCTGGTGGCGAGAGGGGGCAGAGGGGGCAGAGGGGGAGTGAGACACCGCCGGCGCCAGGTTAGTTCTACCGACCGATCGACCGTCGCTCCAAGTCCGCGGCGGATCGAGCATTCGGCTGAAGGCCGCTCCCCCTGCCTCCCACCTCCGATATTTTCCAGGATGCCGCTGAGGCCGGCTCTGAGTTGTTGGTCGACCAGAGTTGGGGGCACGCGGAGGGATCGCAGCGACAGCCGGAAGCGGGAAGAGGCTTTGTTGATTAGATGTGGTGTGCCGGGTGGGCGAAATATTTTGTTGCGTCTTGAGTGCACGTGCCAGGGAGTGTGTGGGGAGCGGTAGTGTGGCGGTGAGTGAGCCGAGTTTGGAAGCGGTTAGCGAGCCGAGTTCGATTCCCGCTCACGGCCAACACCGGTGACGATTATCTGAACGGGTCTTGGGCCGCGGCTAGGTCGACTCAGCCTCAAACCAGTACCTCGTGCAATGTGTAAACATTGATACTAGGGAGACAAAGGCGGCCGGGCGTGGTGCTGGCCACCCACTTCCTTGTGTGCTGTGCCGGCCTTAATAAGTTTTCACGAACAGCTCTTGCCCCAACAGTCTGTTGAGCCTATACGTGTGTGTGCACGTGTGTGTGCACGTGTGTGTGCACGTGTGTGTGCACGTGTGTGTGCACGTGTGTGTGCACGTGTGTGTGCACGTGTGTGGTGTGTGTGGCACGTGTGTGTGCACGTGTGTGTGCACGTGTGTGTGCACGTGTGTGTGCACGTGTGTGTGCACGTGTGTGTGCACGTGTGTGTGCACGTGTGTGTGCACGTGTGTGTGCACGTGTGTGTGTGCGAGTCTGAACCGTGTTATCTTAGTCTTGTATCCATTCATTAGTTCCACTTCTCGGTTTAATTTCTCACTCGACGTTTTCCAGGTCGCTGCTAAAACCCGGAGTGGGTGCGGCACGTGACTCACAGCCCCGGCAGCCGTAGCGAGAGCCCGGATCTAGACTGGATGTGGTGTGCCGGGTTCTCATGGTTCGCCAACCCAGACGGACCAGACGATTGTCCTGGTGGTGGTGATGGTGGTGGTGGTGTAGATAGTGGTGATGGTGGTGGCAGTGGTGGTGGCAGTGGTGACGATGGTGGTGGTGGCAGCAGTGGTAGTGGCGATGATGGCGATGGTGATGGAGGCTGTGGTGGCGATGGTAATGGAGGCTGTGGTGATGGAGGCGGTGGTGGCGATGGTGGCGGCAGTGGTAGTGGCGATGGTAATGGAGGCTGTGGTGATGGAGGCGGTGGTGGCGATGGTGGCGGCAGTGGTAGTGGCGATGGTAATGGAGGCTGTGGTGATGGAGGCGGTGGTGGCGATGGAGATGGCGATGGTGGTGGCAGTGGTGGTGACGATGGTGGTGGTGGTGGCAGTGGTGGTGGCGATGGCGATGGAAGCGATGGTGGTGGCGGCTGTCCCAGTGCTGCGCACGGTGGTGGTTGCGGCGACGGTGGTTGTGGCCATGGCGGTGGCGCTGTGCGTGGTGGTGCTGTGCGGTGCCAGCGCTGTACCTGTGCGGCGCGCACGCTCGCCAGCTGCTGCGGGTGGCAGTGGTGGTTGCGGCCGACGATGAGGTCGCCGGCCGAGCCGAGCGACGTCTGCCGGGAGAGCATCGCCGGGCCGCCCACCGACTGCATGGCCCTCGGCTTCAGATGATCTGCGGAGCGACAGCGGACACCGTCAATGTCACCGCCGTCGTCATTGTCACCGTCATTGTCATCATTGTAACCGTCATTGTCATCATAATCATCGTCATCATTGTCATCGTAATCATCATCATCATTGCCACCATCGTCATTGTCATCATTGTATTCACAGTCAACAGTCAGCATCATCATTGACATCATCGTCATCGTCACCATCATTTGTATCATCATCATCATCGCCGCCATCATCAACATCGCTGTTACCATCACTATCATCATCATCAACATCGCTGTTACCATCATCGTTGCCACCATCATCAACATCGCTGTTACCATCATTATCGTCATCATCAACATCGCTGTTACCATCATCGTCGTCATCATCATCGCTGTTACCATCATTATCATCACCATACCCGGAGCAACCCCGCGCACACACGAGAGGAGGGGCTAACCATCAGGGCTCCGCACAGATGGATTCAAGTATCTCCCCCCGACCAACTCGCGGCGCGTGTTCCCATCGGTGCACAGAGCCAGGCCCAGCGCGGCTTGCCTCGTGAAGTGCGCCGAGACCAGACGCAGCCACCTATCTCTCTCGTAAACAAAGATAAAGATCCCCCGTATAGCCTTAACAGACTGAAGGGCCAAGTGCTGTTAGTGAGCACGTACGAAGGCCGGAACGGTACACGAGGGGGTGGGTGGCCAGCACCACGCCCGACCGCCTTTGTCTCCCCAGTGGCGATGTTTACACACCGCACCAGGTACTCATTTAAGGCTGAGTCGACCTAGGGGAGGCCCGGGACCGGTTCAGATAATCGTCACTGGTATTGGCCGTGAGCGGGAATCGAACTCGGGTCGTCGGGTTCATAGCGCAGCGTTGTGCTACCCGCTACACCACCGGATGCATGCATGCGTGAGCACACACACAAGCAACATTACGTAACCGGTATTGGTGAAATACCCCCATTGGTGAAAGATTTCTACTGCAAGTTACTCGATTGGGATTCCACACAGGGGCCGTCCATAAATTACGTCACGCGATTTTGGACGATTTTTGAGACCCCCCCCCCTCAAATATGACGTCACAAAGCTCTGCCCCCCCCCCAAAAAAATAAAACATGCTTCAAATCGCTTTAAACTATTGTCATTGTAGTGCCTATTTAATGTGGCGCTGCACTCTGATGTTGTAGGAGAAAACATTTATTTATAAAAGTCTATTTAATTAAGTAGAACGTGTTGTCTATATTTATTTAAAGTTTCGTTTGTTGATGTGACGTCACATCTCTCAAACCCCCCCCCTCGTCACACATCGTCACAAATGTCTGACACCCCCCCCCCCCAGGTGCATGACGTCATTTATGGACGGCCCCACAGCAGTAGCAGCAGCAGAATCAGCAGCAGCATCGCTCCCTCCACTGCAGGACCCTCCCGTGAAGAAGTCTTGAGACTCGGTAAAACAACAACAATAACACACGCAGCTCGTGACGCTCTAGGAGTCACTCCCCTGGGTCGACTCAGCCTTAAATGAGTCAGCCAGTACGTGTGGAGCGGTGAGCGCGCCGCGCTACGAACCCGGCGACCCGAGTTCGATTCCCGCTCACGGCCACAAAACCCAAGCGACGATTATCTGAACCGGTCATGGACCTCCGCCCCGAGGTCGACTCAGCCTCAAATAAGTGCCTGGTGCGGTGTGTAAACATCTGAACTGGGGAGACAAAGGTGGCTGGGCGTGGTGTTAGCCCCCCCCCCCCCCCGTGCCCCATCGTGTGCCGTGCCGGCCTTCGTAACGTTATCGCGCTCGGTAACAGCACTTGGCCCCGGCAAGTCGGTTCAAGGCTACACGGGGGACCTTTGTCTTTGTCGTGACTCAGCCTGTGAAGCCGTTCCTGTGCTGAAATATCCGGACCGCTCCCTTACACACACACACATGCACACACACATGCACACACCCAGATACACACACGCGCACACACACGCACACACACACCCATACACACACGCACACGCATACACGCACACACGCACACCTTTACACGCATACACACATACCCTTACACCCATACATGCACACGCACACACACGCACGCATTCACACACACGCATACACACGCACGCATACACGCATACACGCGCAGGTGTATGCGTGTGTGTGTTAGGGGAGCGGTAGTGTAGCTGTGAACCCGGCGACCCGAGTTCGATTCCCGCTCAAGGCCAACACCAGTGACGATAATTATCTGAACCGGTCCTGGGCATTCCCTAGGTTGACTCAGCCTCAAAAAACGAGTTACCCAGTGCGGGGTGTGTAAAACGTCACCACTGGGGAGACAAAGGCGGCCGGGCGTGATGTTGGCCACCCACCCCCTCGTGTGCCGTGCCGGCCTTCATAGGTGCTGCTCGCAAAACAGCACTTGCCCCGACAAGTCTGTTACAGGCTGCACAAGACGCTCTACCATCCTACATCGGCATCACAATTGTGTACGTGTGCGTACAATTGTGTAGTGCTTCCTTTGTTGTTCTTTGTTGTGCCCCGTGCCACCGTTTTGCAGGCGCGTGACAAAGTGTCCGACATTTGACCAGTGCCGGATTAAGCGAAGTGCGGGGCTTTTAGCATATTAATATTAAAACACAATATTCTTAGTTGCGTAGTAAAGTAATTGTATTTTGCATTTGCTATACAGCCAGATAATACGACAAATCGCTAACCTTACACATCCAGTCGTTCGTAAAAGTTGAAGGCGGTATAGTACTATAGTAATAGAGCAAGTGCAGAGTCATCGAACCGGAATTGATAGCTTGAAAGCATTTAACGTGGGGCCCTTGAAAGTGCAGGGCCCCGTAGCATTATGTAGCTACTTGTGCTACGAGGATATAATCCGGCACTGCATTTGACAAGATCAGACTGCATCAGCACCTGTGAAGGCCGGCACGGCACACGAGGGGGTGGGTGGCCAGCACCACGCCCGGCCGCCTTTGTCTCCTGAGCGGCGCTGTTTTTACACATCGCACCAGGTACTCATTCGAACCTTATGGCGAGACCCCGGGGTCCCGCCATAAGGTTCATTTGAGGCTGAGTCGACCTAGGGGAGGCCCAGCACGAGTTCAGATAATCGTCACCGGTGTCGATGGCCGTGAGCGGGAATCGAACTCGTGTCACCAGGTCCGTAGCGCAACGCGCTAACCGCGACACTACCACTCCTCATACGCACAATTCACACACAACAACAACAACCGCCATTCGCCACTAAGTGGCGATGACGTCACCACGACGCTTGTGCCAGGCCAAGTGCACCTTGAGGCCACGTGAAGTGTCGAACGCCCGCTGGCAGAAGGTCACGGGGCAGACCTAGCAGGTGCCACGGGTCGACTGACTGAGATGATTGAGACGACTGGCTGATGCACCACCTGTGCCCCCTACTGTGCCAACTTGCTGTGCTTTAGCCACCCGGCGCTCCGCTCGTTGTTGTGAGCGTCGCTCCTCCGCCCTCCGTTGTTGTTGGAGGGCGACTACCTCCAACTGCCCAGTAGCGTCCTTCACGAGCCTCCTCAACAGAGGCCGATCTTGACACCGCTGGTACCAGTCATCGTCAAGTCCACTCAGCTCCACGTCCTCCTGTACCACATCACTCCATTTCTTCTCTAGCCCGTGCCGCGCCCGTTTAACCCCCTCGATCCTGCCGAACAAAAGCTGTTTGTGCATGCGGTGGCTGGGCATGCGGGCTACATGACCCAGTCAACGCAGCCTTGCCTGTCCGGAGGGCCCACACTGACACACACACACACACTCACACACAGACACACAAACACTGACACACACACACACTCACACACAGACACACAAACACTGACACACACACACACTCACACACAGACACACAAACACTGACACACACACACACTGACATACACACACACTCACACACAGACACACAAACACTGACACACATACACACTGACACACACACACACTCACACACAGACACAAACACTGACACACTGACACACACACACTCACACACAGACACACAAACACTGACACACACACACACTCACACACAGACACACAAACACTCACACACAGACACTCACACACAGACACTCACACACAGACACACAAACACTGACACACACACACATTGCACGCGTAACCCAACGCAGGGCCTCCAGCGAGCCTCCCAAATATAGCGGCGGCCACCGCTGCGCACCCCCCCCCCCCCACCATCGCGTTCCTGTTGGGGGGGGGGTGGGGGGCGAGGCCGAAACGTCGCGAACTTCTGGACGGGAGCGGGCAGCCCAGGCGGCGCTCGATCTGCAGAAGCGGATATCAAGGAGCTACCTCTAAGAGCTCGCTTCAGCACGTGACCTGCGGTCCCGCACAGCAAAGGGGGCAGCACTGCCCCAGCCGGCCTGCCGTACGGACTGCGAACGTTCGTCGCACGGCCACCAAACCCCCCTCGCCCCCCCGATGGCGCTAATTCTTGGCGCAGGAATTTGGCCCACGTTTCCGGGGCGCAGAGCCACGCTCAGTTGCAGGTGACTGATTTGTATTGCTCAGCCCATGATTTGTCACGGGGGATTCATCACTTCTGCTTTCTAAAACAAAATGATGTCATCGCATTTTATTATAGCTCTACATTAAAAGAGAGAGAGAGATAACACTGGTCAACACACTCTTTCTGGCGTAAGGTATTCCAACGGTTTTAAGGTAATTTTGGGGTGATGATTCCAAATCTGGCATAAATTTTTTGTCTATCACATCAGGTTTTTGAGATATCAAATATTGCGTTTTCAATAAAAACTGCAGAAAAAGAATATTAAATAAATGTAGATATCTACATAAAATGATATTATAAACACACTATCTTAAAAATACAGCACCATATTTTAACACTAAAGCAGTCACTGACTCGCAACAACTTGAAATCATAAGTGACAGAGTTAATTTCGGGTAAAATCAATGAAAATGGGGTATGCCGATAGCATAAAAAATCAACCCGTAAAAACAAAGTTTTTC